ACAGAAGTTGAAGAGGAAGATAAAATATTCAAGGTTGATATGACGACGATTGATGGTGCCCTTGAGGTACTTGTTCATGCTGCAGTGCAAGATTCGGGTCCAATAGCAAGGGATGTTTTCGAAGCCATCTTCTACCCAGAGGCAGCTTACGAGAAACGGAAAGAAGCTTTCGATACAGTCACTTACGAGGACCTTCAAGAGCTCAGCAAAACGTTCCGAGCAAACACTGTTTTCCCTCACCAAACAATATCGCACCGCATTATAGCCGTGGATCCTGTTGTACTATCCACACCCAGCTCGAAATTCGCCTATCAACGCATGCGAGAGGGATGGACAATTGATTACCGGAGTGTCCAGATCGCTCGCGAGATGACCGAGAAACTAAAGGAGAAAGAGGATGAACGACTCGCGGAATCTTTTAGATTATTCCGGAGCTATGCGCAATCGAGCACACTCGCGTCTTGGATCCTCGAGCCCATCGCACACCGCATCTTGTGCGCCAACACGCGACAGAACCTTGTTCTGACCAAGATGCGTGGTGATCTGTCGGTTGATGCGCCCGTCCTGGACGTAGACTTTAAGAATGATATCACAAAGGGATACCCACAGCTTCCTGGCGGTGATCGGGACCTGGTGACCTTCTACGCCGAAGGAGTTACCGGTCTCACAGACAATGCATATTATGTTCCAGAGAGATTAAACGTCCCTCTTTTTGATTCATTTCTTGTCGAGCGACGAGCTCCTGAGACTACTGACATGGAACTAATCTTGTGGGTGTTCCAGATATCGACGTCCCCCACGCATGGTGGATCCCGAGAAGGATATGTATCTATCCGAAGGATAATTAGGTCGCTGAAGAGCTCTTTTGGAACCATCGAGGTGAAGGACGGAGATGGAAAGGTAAAGATGGATAAATGCTGAACAAGAAACGCAGATTGACCGAAAGCGCAGATAATCAAGATGCAAAAGCGGGAAATCAAGATAACCGTCAACTATGTCTACGTCACGCCAAGGGAGGAAGGTCATACCCAATATCAGTGGCGTTGTCCTGGTGGGTGGAACAAACATGCAAGACTTCACGATCATCGTGGGGATTTTTACTGCTTGCGAATGCCAATTCCCGTATGTGGTCCCCCATCACTTCCCTCTCAGTCCAACCAAATAATTCATGCTTTACAGGCGGGAACTGGTGCCAAGTCAAAATGAGGAAAACTCACCAAAAGGTTTCGTCAACTTAGTCGCCAATTTTGTATCATAATTGTAATAATATGTATCGCGTTATGCTTGCACGATGACATCCTGCTCAACAAATATATTTGTACGAAAGCCTCTCCATGCTAGTGAACGGCTCTGTATACATACTAATGGCTTACAACGGGGCACTACGTAGGAGGCAATGCATGTAACGGCTAGAAATAATTTAAATCGAAAGGGTTACGAAACTGTTTCGTATCAATGATGTTGCTGAAATATGTAGTAAATTACGAATAATCAAGAGGTTAAACCACCGTAAAGGTGGTACCAAAGTATAATCGTTTCTTAAGTCGAATCTTACGATAGACAATCGCAAGGATTCAACATTAAGAAAGTAAAATATAATGGCCCTCACTATATGTTGTGGCGCTGCCAGTGGTCCACCCTTGTCGTAGCCCTGGTCAAGAAGGTAACTCGATCGCAAGGTCCAGTCGTACAACTCCGGGAGATTGTACCAAAGAGTTCAGGAACTGTATCGCCCACTACGGACACTACACAATTATAGTGCCAGCGAGAGTCCAGCGAGCAACGTAGAGGAGAAAGGGCGGACAACCCGGTCTACGCCTTCAACCTACGATTTCCCAAAGTGTCGGTTCAGGTCTAATCTTCGGAGGGGGTCGTCCGACCCACGTCAACTGGAGAAAGGGAGACTCCTCTACTCACGCGTTCCACGCTTCATAACCCTGGTTGAAGATCAATCGCAGGGCCCGGTTGCCCAACTCTTTCAGAAGGAGTTGTGCCAAAGGGTTCAGGAAGAATATCGCCTGCGTGGGCGACGTCCAGCGAGCTACGCAAGAATGTTGAGAAGCGGAACTAAGCCAACGCTTTCAACCCTACGATTTTCCAGAGTGGCGGTTCAGCTCTAACCTTCGGAAGACCCCACGGGGTTCGTCGACCGGAGAAGGGGATGGTGGTGGTAAGAGGATAAGAGGTGTTGAAACTCCGACTCCCTCTTCTGCAGTCTTTATACCATTCTAGAGGTCACGCGTTATGTTTATGAGTCAGCCTGCAATTCCTCGATGAATAATATTTTGAAAAAGTAATCTCCCAGCGCACGGACCATCGTAGCATTTTGAATCCGTCTTGGGGTCTCAACGTCAAATCCTTCAAGTTTCTCGTAATAATTGTAGCCTGAAAAAGTGAATGAAACTTGTTGATATCTGAAAACCGATATACATGCACCGCGTAGTGGAATATGGGGATGCGACTCCTCGGCAGAACTAAAAATTAGCTGTAATGTTTTTATCCTTTTACAGATATAACCAACCCTCCCGGGTTTCGAACTAATGGCTCCGCCAAGGCTCGCGATCGCGGCACGCACCTTGAAGGTCGCCGTCTGGCCAATGCCCGAACCGTTGCGCTAAAACGGCGGCTATAGCTCTATATTACGTTGTACAGCCCTATCCAGCTGCACATACGTTTCTCCAATCTGCTCATTGCATTTCCTCCAAAAGAAAATTATAAAAGAAAAATCCGACTTTATTTGTACCTGTAAATACTTAGTGGCATTGGCAAACATGTCAGCGAGCAGCAGAAGAAAAAACGGATAAACGAAGGTTGTTATCAAGGATGCAGGATAGCGAGTACGATAACTGAAAACGAATGAGTACGTATTTAACAACTCACCCGCACCAAAGAGGTTTCAGACTCCATTAATTCCCATCTATGCATATCGCAGCCGCCTCATCCGGATATACGAAAAAATTGATTAGATGGAATAAGGAAAAATAACAAAAATAACTTCCGCGCCGGGGAATCGAACCCCGAGCTGCTGTGCGCCTGCCAATATGAAAGACAGCGATGTTAGCCATTACACCAGCGCGGACATAAATATTGGAGAAGGGTGGTACCCTCGGACCATTTCCACTAATGATCTGAAGCGTATAGGATAGATTTGTCTACTTATCGTAAAAGTTGTTACGGATAGAAATTTTCACATAATCTGTATTTAATCTTGCCAAGAAGTTGCATTGAGCGGTGAGCCTATATAGTTCGAAGGAGAGAAAGAAAGATAAAGATACAGCCCTCCCGGGAATCAGCTGACCTTTGCATATTACTTACAACCAGGTGGCGCACGAGTCGGGGTTTTGCGTTGAAAGTTTGTTGCTACATCTGCATTTTTTAAACCACTTCAAGTTTGCTATGTAATTCCGATAACATGGAATGGCGCTTGTCCGAAGAACCAATACACGAAGCATCTAGCGTGATTCCCTTTCGACCCATCTCGAATACCTCTCCATAGTCCATGGTCAAAAGCCGTATTGGGATTCTCAATTCAATATATAAGTTTACGCATTACCGTCATATCAATATAATTATCTACACAGTTGCACGATAGCGAAGCTTATAGGGCTGGAGCTTCAGCTGCTAACTGAGTCTCGGTGATATCAATCACTTCTTTCAATTTTGTCTCGGAAAGAATCTCAAAGCCCTCGCGAGTGACCTAGAAAGGTAGGCATAAGTAAAGAGAAAAAGCTGAAGTTGGATCAGACTGTAACGTACCTGCGCCACTTGCACATTGTGTTGATCGAGCTTCTCCTCCATAACTTGCTTAAGGACACGTAAAGCAAGGCAATGGGCCTCTTGTAAGGTCATTTGCTAGACAATCAAGTGCTTAATGTATGCGTTACGAGCAGTAATAATGAAAAGGCGAACCTTATGCCACTTGTCCTGCAACTCTGCTTGAGCAGCCTCACTTCCACTGCCAATTGCTTTCGCTTCATACTTCATAAAGGTACCAGAAGGGTCTGTGTGGAATCTGCGACATACAAGGTCAGTTAACTCAATCAAATAAAGTTGGAGGTGTTCTCACAGTTGTGGTCCAAGCTCATCAATCCCACCAATGAGCAACGCAACACCGAAAGGTCGACTCTGCACCAAATCAAATCAGTATTATTATAGCAAATATTGCGCTTCAGTATACTCACCATCATGGCATCCTCATCATGCACACTCTCACCAAACCTCAGCGCAAGATCGCACACCGCCTGCGTTACTGACTCAACCTTAATTTGTTCGTCGTATGTGAAGTTATGATTTTGAGCAGTAACACGCGCATGGTCGATCATCGTTCGTGCATCGGCAGTCAGGCCTACAGAGAGGGAAGGAAAACCCCAAAGAAGTCAGGCTGGAGAGAGTAGGGTAATAAACCGTAATTGAACGTACCACTCATTGCGCAACCCAAATGCGAGTCAATTTCCATGATCTTCTCTATTGAACTAGACTCCAGCAGTGGTGATTGCACACGTTTTTCAACGGCCAGGACAACTCCGTCTGGCGTTCGGATGCCTACGGTGGTGGAACCGAGCTAACATAACATGATGGACTACATCAGGACTATACCAAGACAGGCGAATTGAAAGACAAACTTTGATAGCTTCAATGGCATATTCCACTAAATAGATTCGTATAAGATGCAAAGGCTTGTAAGAAACCACAGAAGAAATACCTTGGAACAATCGACCTTCGGGCGAGAAAGTATTGACACCACGATCTAAAGAACGCACGCAGTCAGCACTCAAATGCTTCGTTCAAAGGTTATAACGCCCGTTTAATAATCATACATACCGTATTCTGAGCGAGTTAAAAACATTATAATGAGAGGGAGGGCGGTGAAGGTGGAGGAGGTACTATGGGACGCGTATGCAACGCGCGTTCGCCCTAGCCATGACACGCGGGAAAGGATTATGTCAGGCGTCTAATTGTCTCAAGACGCATGTGTATAGTCATTAGGGATATACCATCAATCCGCGCTGGTGTAATGGCTAACATCGCTGTCTTTCATATTGGTAAGCGCACAGCAGCTCGGGGTTCGATTCCCCGGCGCGGAAAATATTCTTTTTCTCTGAATCCTTTGTGAGAGAACTCACTTTCTTCTATAAGACAACACGCGGTGACGATTAAGTTTTTTTATTACAATCTCACCGAAGAAGCCATAGTGCGATAAATACTGTTATATCAACTGCCAACGGTGTTATATCCCGCTTGTATCAACTGCTGAATCCATATGTGATATACCGTGATTGTATCCCTGTACTTGTGATCCTCTCTTGCAAGTCAATTGTCCTTGCCGAGCAATGTTGATTGTGCTGCTGCCTAAGAGTGCCCAGGTTATGCCGCAAAATGCTGCTTCATTTTAATTGTAAATATAATCTGGAGTCGCGTATCGAAATCAACTCGTATGTTCCGTATGAAATATTGGATGAGTGGCCATATAATCTGAGCTACCTTCAATGTATGAAGATCTTGCTCTAGATTCACCAATTAAAAGAGGAAAATTTCCAATAAAGAGAGAAATCCTTCGAGATGACAATAAACCATTTTTTAAAGAGGCCGACCGGTCTGGTAAGCGATCAAGTAGAGTTCAGTTCGCTCACATTTGAAACTCATGTAGACATGCCTTCGATTTTTGCAGACACTTGGTGGAGTGTACAAGTTTTAAATGTGTCTGATAAAGCGCACTCGAGTCCATTTTTAATGCTAGGCCTGTAAATCCTGGAGGAATAATTGTTGAACACTACGGTGAACCACTTCGGAATCCGGATGGCTCAGCTGAGCCTCGGTATATGAGTACTGGAGATCCCTGAAGCTCTTGTTAGATATAACGGATAGTTTATTTCTATAATACCAACTTGAAGTGAATGTGATATTGAAATCTATCTTCCGAATTTCCGAATCAGGAGCGGCGGGGAGACACGCGGTAAAATTCCACTTCTTTCCAGTAATAATGCTTTGAATTTCGCATACAGCTCGTTCACTAATCATGAGTCAGAGAAAGAAAGAGAAAGCTCAAGACGCTGCTGGCCAAGCCTTCACGTAATAGACGCCCGATTCCCCATGAAATGACTAGAGGTTGACGCCACTGCCTCCACAGGTACCCACAACGCACCCCCTGAGTAATATCACCTATCACGTTGAAGACCCCGAACAGTTAGTTCACTTCCGAACCACATCCATCTCTTGTGGCCACCGCGGTCGACTACTATGGAGTCGCTCAATATGAAGACACTTGCAAACTCGCTCCCCAACTCAGCGAACACGGACAAACAGCTCATGGATAATTTCAAAGGTATGTGTTTTTTCTTTGCGTCATGAGGTGTGATGTTGTGCAACTAGCTGACATGTGGCATCTCACCTTCTGAACAGCTGCTGCCCTCTCGATTACGACGTTTTACAGGTCATCGTTGGACGCATCGAAGCTAGCGTACACGTCGGGATACTCGACATGCTTGCATGATATCCTGCAGTTCATCCAGGCGGGCGTCTCGGTGTCTGGAAATTCGGGCGAAGAGCTGACGATAGGGCGAGTCATGGATTGGCTGGAAGCACGGTCTGAAGCTATCAAGAGCACACAGGAAGAAGAGGAAGAAGACCGGATGAAGGAAGCTGGTGCTGTGGGTGGCCAGGCGGAGGAGCCATCGAAGGAGGACCGAGACAAGAGATCGCGCAAGAATATGACCATGCCAGCACCCGGAACCAAGCTACGAAAACGAAGCAAAGAGAACCTCCACGATACCCCATCCGATACCCATCCGTTCCCCCGTACTACAGCCGCATCAGCCCCCGCCCCTAGCGGTCCTTCACCCTCCCCTCCACCTCCTCAACGTCCCCAGAAGAACAAACGAAGCGCAACGAAGGACCTAAACTACAATATATCTTCTAACGAATCCGATCCAACCGTGCCACAGACACCTGACGCATTCGCATTTGCTCCCGACGTTATCCTCCCGTTCCCCCCCGCCGTGGTAGGCGCCAAACGGCGGCACTCCACCATGCTTACTGATTCGCCCGACGCTGCTCCTATGCCTGCTTCATCCTCGCCATCTTCAAGTCCAATCCACGCATACGTCCCGAATAGGCGTAGGCGCGGGCGGAGCGCGTTCGGCGTTCCTAGCTCGAATGGCGGGATGGACAGTTCAGTCGGCGAAGCGATGGAGATCGAGGAAGAAGGAAGAGAGAGAAAGAGAGTCGCTCGTCGTTGAAGAAGGACAGAACGTTTCGGTGTCCGATATTTCCTACTTGAATCCTTTTTTTTCGTTACCCCCACCCCCATCCCATTCCATCCATTCATGTATCACTACAATTGCACCTTCATTCATTCACAGCAAGCATGTTTGTTTACCTATGCTAATAATTGTATGTGCTATTTTTATTACACTTAGTACATCTTGTAGGAACTACCGGTCTTATTCGCTGTTTGATGGCGGAATAGCTCGAATAGTGAGTTCGGTCGTTCTTTATGGGTAAAAGGTTCTCTAACTGACTCTAACTTTCCTAGTATCATCCTATTTATGCTTATTGTCCGAGTTTATTGTTCGTAAGTATACATTGTGCACCATGATGAACGGCCAATTACCACCCATTCGACTGGGATATGGACGTCGAAGTGGGAATAAAGCGGCCAAGAATAACATGAATTGACGTTGTTAACTGAAGGCGGGATTTTTTCACCTCGAGACTCGCCCATCCTAGCGTCGCACATTCACCTACCATTCCGTCCCGTCCCATCTCTTACGTACCTACATAGGTGCGTCCTCCTTCCGCCTATAACACCTATTAACAGCCCATTATCAAGCTAAATTCAACTCAGGGCGAAGTCTAACTATAACACCCGCAACACTGTGCCCGTCCGTACCTGTACATAGTCAACAAAGGCTGTACACCGACACTGCCTACAGACGTCGACAACGGCACGCAACGCATAACAATAATAGACACCATACGGTCGACATCGATCCCCCCATCCGATGCAGATTGATCACCATCACGCCTACATACGCCTTTGTCTAAATGAAGTACAAACAGCCCAAGCACAGCATGCGTCTCGGACCTCGGATCTCACTGTAGGCATGATCACCGGACGGATCACGGAGGGACGGACGCGGACGGAACTCAACATGGGACGGAGATAGAACTCACTGTAGGCGTGATCACCGGACGCGGACGGAACTCAACATGGGACGGAGATAGAATAGTGAGATAAGGGCGGTGAACCGATGTCGATGAGGTACGACGCAGACGATGCGATGAGGCGTCGCACATCCTTCCTTTTCGAGAGGGAGTGGGCAGCGATCAGTTACGCGGGTTAAGCTAGTGCGATCAGACTCGATTCATTATGCATATCGAGCTGCAGCGATTATTCTCCTCGTTACTTTTAAATTATTTTTCTTTTCTTTTACCTGTACTTTTATTTCTTATGATTAGGTTTACCGGAACTTCTATAGTCCCGTGCCACGAGCGCCGACGGTCCGTCTGTTCTACCGCAGCGAGGTATCCTTCCACCCGATTTCCGTCTATCTGATTCGTCGTTCATTAATTCATTCTGCTTCTTAGCCTTCTGAAAGCTTAAGTTTAATGAGGAGATGAGCACGCTGCATAATTGCCTCTACCTGACCATGCGACCGCGAGGTATCCTTCCACCCGATTTCCGTCTATCTGATACGACGTTCATTAATTCGTTAACCAATGCATTCTGCTTCTTAGCCTTATGAAAGCTTAAGCTTAATGAGGAGATGAGCACGCTGCATAATTGCCTCTACCTGACCATGCGACCTAAGGTATATAACCCGATAGTTTCCTCCGATTCGTCGTCCATTCATTCTTCTTCATCTTCTTAAAGCTTTACTGTAATAAGGAGATGCGCATAACGCTGGTTCTGAATCACGCTGCCCGACCGGTCCGCCGCCTCCCGCCAGCCACCCTCAACCAGGCCGAATATTTCATCCGATTCGTCGTTCGTCCATTCTTCTCTTCTTAAACCATACTGCATAAAGCCTCAGGTGGGCAATCAATATCAAGTAACGTAAACGTCAACAATCATGCTACCCTGAAGTATATACGTATAGTTCCCCTCGCCCGATTATTTCATCCGATCCGTCCTTCTCTTCTTCTTCAACCATACCCCATAAAGCTGGAGGCGGGCAATCAGTCAAATGGCGTCCACGAGGAGCTTGCGTGCCATGCCATGCCATCCTCGGCCTTATATTCTATGTAGAAATCTTCGGGTCAAACTTTATCCGAGTCCTTCTCTTCTTCTGCTCATCTTGCTCGATAAAGCGTCGAGTGGGCGATCAAATATCAACGAAGAGAAGGAAAGAAGGCTTATTTCACGCGCACGGCTAGGACTATCCCGCCGCTGTGGGACTACTAATATTGGCATATGTAGATGAACCAGTTTATTTATTACTATTAGAATTATTTTATGCTTATGCTTATTTATTGATTATGTTCTACTCTTCTTCAATACGTTAAATAAACTTAAAGTTTGCACAATGTAGCTGGGAAATAAACTTGGTTTCGACGTTGACTTTGACTTGCGCGTGAATACAGGTGCATGCCGCGATTATACGTGGGAAAGTTAGGGATTAATGGGTTATGTATTAATCTTACTAAGAACAAAGATGGTAAAAACGGAAAATTGTATACTGAGTCCGAATACAAAACTAAGCTACTAATGAACAACACAATCCTTCGTGACCCGTGAAGCGTGAACCGTATAAATGTCATAAGAATTACATGAAAAACAAGAATCGTGAGAGATGAGATGTGCGGCGATGGGGCTAGTGAGGAGGGAGGTGGGAATAAGGATGTGGATACAAGATGTGGAAATGGATATTATCATTATTATTACAGCAAAAACCATCCTATCCAGTACTCAAAACCAGACTACACCATACCACACTGGACCCATCGCCGTGGGCCTTTTATCATTTTTATCCAATAGATCGGAAACGTAATGTAAAGGCCTTAAACCTTCTCATCGCTATGTCTCTCATCAGCAGCAGCGTGTCCCTTCCTCTCGCGGACCAACGTATCCTGGGCAGTGATGTTC